GTGTATATGTATCTATGTATTGGATTGTTATGGGGAGCCACCTCAGAAAACACTCCTAATTCAAATAAAAGAAAACTTTATTTACCTAGCCAGGGACTGTCTCCCACCAGTAAAGACTGATGCTCTGTGGGAAAACAGCAATTTCCTGGCCTGTGTCTTGGGAATTTAATGATGACAATCTAACTTGGGGCTTTTCTCAGGGTCATGCAAGCAAGCAAGTTACAGAGGCTAAAAAAAGCAGTTAGCTTAATGGCATCTTGGGTCCTAACAAGTGTTAGACAACTGTATCCTGAGTTTCAGCTGAGTGGGGGGCCATAATCTATTTTAAAGTCATGTAGACCCATAAATGTACCCAGGATGTAGCTCATCATGACCACTATTATATCTTGAGTTGATTACATTCTGTGGAGTATAAAGTATAGGAAAATAATTTTTATAAGAAAACAGCTTTCATTTTAGTTTCTCAAAAACAGCTCTTGTAACAATTTTTATAGAAAGCAATAAAATGGAGTCTTAAGCCTGTTTATGACAGTTCTTGCTTTATAATTGTCTTATCTCACTTATAAAAATCTTATATATATATTTTTTACTATATATATTTTTTTACTACTCTATAACCTATAATTTACACTCTCACTCATTTTATTGATTAGTTTACACCACAACAAAACTTCAGAACCACATGTGACTCATAATATCATCACCATCTTAGAGTAGTTTTAATTTGCATTTCTCTGATTGCTAGAGATGATGAGCATTTTTCGTATATTTGTTGATTGATTGTATATCCTCTTCTGAGAAATGTCTGTTCAGGTCCTTGGCCCATTTAATGATTGGATTATTTGTTTATTGGTGCTTATCTTGTGGAGCTCTTTATATACCCTAGAAATTAGAGCTTTATATGATGTGTGAGGGGTAAAAATTTGTTCCCAGAATGTAGGCTCTCTATTCACCTCACAGATTATTTCTTTTGCTGAGAAAAGACTTTTTAGTTTGAATCCACCCCATAGGTTGATTCTTGGTTTTAATTCTTGTGCTATAGGTGTCTTATTAAGGAAGTTGGGGCCTAGCCCCACGTGATGGAGATTAGGGCCTACTTTTTCTTCTGTTAGATGCAGAGTCTCTGGTTTAATTCCTAGATCTTTGATTCATTTTGAGTTAACTTTTGTGCATGGTGAGAGATATGGATTCAATTTCATTTTATTGCATATGGATTTCCAGTTTTCCCAGCACCATTTGTTGAAGATGCTATCCTTTCTCCAGTGCATGCTTTTGGCATCTTTGTCTAATATAAGGTAGTTTTAATTTTGTGGGTTAGTCTCTGTGTCCTCTATTCTGTACCATTTGTCTACCAGCCTGTTTTGGTGCCAGTACCATGCTGTTTTTGTTACTATTGCTCTGTAGTATAGTTTAAGGTCTTCCATAGCGATACCACTTGTTTCACTCTTCCTGCTTAGAATTGCTTTGACTATTCTGGGTCTGTTATTAAGATACCATCTCACTCCAGTAAGAATGGCAGCCATTATGAAGACAAACAACAACAAGTGCTGATGAGGATGCGGGGGCGGGGGGGGGAAGGTACACTCGTACACTGCTGGTAAATTGGCACAGCCAATTTGGAAAGCAGTATGGAGATCCTTGGAAAGCTGGGAATGGAACCACCATTTGACCCAGCTATCCCTCTCCTCGGTCTATACCCAAAGGACTTAAAAACAGCATACTACAGGGACACAGTCACATCAATGTTTATAGCAGCACAATTCACAATAGCTAAACTGTGGAGCCAACCTAGATGCCTTTCAGTGGATGAATGGATTAAAAAATGTGGCATTTATACACATTGAAATATTACTCAGCAATAAAAAAAAGAATAAGATCATGGCATTTGAAGGGAAATGGATGGCATTAGAGAAGATTATGCTAAGTTAAGTTAGCCAATCCCCAAAAAACCAAATGCCGAATGTCTTCTCTGATGTAAGGGGAGTGACACAAAACGGGGTTGGGAGGGAAAGCAAGGGAGAAAAATTACCTCTAGATTGGGAATAGGGGTGGGAGGGAAAGGGAGGGAGAAGGGGAAGAGTGTGGATGGTGGGAGGAGACCCTCATCATTATACAAAATACATGTATGAAGATGTGAATTTGTAAGGGTCCGGCAAAGCGTCGGAGAAAGAGACCACCAAGTGACCACTCATGCAACTGGCAGAAGGGGATTTATTTATTGGGGATCCATTCCAGCATGCTGGGGCTCCATACCCACTCAAGAAATGTGAGCAGCCCAGAGCCCAGAGCAGGGGCTGAGCACTGCTTAAGTACACTTTTTTTGGGGAGGGTGGGGACTTTACATACATCACAGTCTCCTTTAACAAATCACCATACACCACGGGAAAGTCAAACAACAATTCTTAGACTTGATTAGTACATACATTGGCGGGAACAGGTCAGGCGGGGGTGATAGGTCACTTCTAAATGGGGTACACATTCAAACTGATTGGTCCAGGCCCTGCGATGCCTACGTGCAAGATCATACAGAGCCCTGAGTTATTAGACAACCAAGTGGTCAGGGGGAATATTTACTGGGCGGTTCCAAGCATTGTCTTAACAGCTACAGGAATTTCAGGTTTTGCATATAGCATAGAAACCTAACAATACCTAATCCTTTACATTTTAACTCAGGCCTTGCAGCCTAGAAACTTTACAATGCCAGGTCTTTTACACTTTAACTTCAATTTCTTTTACCCTTACAAATTTGGTGTCAACATAGCTTATATACAATCAGAGATATGATAAATTGTAGAATAAAGAGTTTAAATGCAAAAAAAATAATGAGAGAGCTCATGTATAATGGCAGAATTTGGTGTGAACATACTTTATATACAGAGTTACGAAAAATTGTGTCGAAAATGGATAATTATGATTGTAATGCATTCCACTATTGTCATGTATGTAAGAAATTAAAAAAATAATAATAATATCATCACCAAAGGAATCTCCAGAGAAGGGGACCTCATCTCAGAAAAATATGTCCTTTATATGAGAGAAAAGAATTTCAGCAAGTGCCTGTCAGAGACATGAGATTCATTCAGGAAAACAGATAAATATTCAATGTAGAATGAGGGTGATATCCAGAGTATGCTGGAGTTAAAGCAAGTAATGTAGGCCATCTCCAGAGGAAGAAAGAGCCACCCTTTGGTGCTAGGGCTGGTCTAGTGATGGAATCAGGGTGGAGTTGTGTGATTTTGGGTCATTTTCCCCTTGACTTGTGCAGGGACCCATGTTAACTTTTGTGGCAGGGAGAACAAGGGCTGAGAACAAGGGCTAAGGATGTGGGCTTCTTGAAGGTAAGTTGCTTACTTTGCATAATAAAGCTTCATGGGTGGCCCTGCTTCATGGGTGGTGCTGCCTAGGGGCTGAAAGCTTATCTTTGTTTTGGATGGAGGACTCCTGACATATTTCACACTGAACAATTTCAGTCAAGGTGAAGGACTCTGTTTTCCCAGAGGCACCAGACCAGTTGAGATCAGTCATCATGGTGAACCTTGGCTGCTGGATGCTGGTGAATTTGCTATCAACATTTTTTAAGGATGTGGTTTCTTAAGGTTTCCAGACTTGGAAAGTCATACAAGGGATTTTAGACCTGTATGTAATCATGACTGTAATCTCCCCAAACCTCTTTATATAATTCAAAAACCCTGACATCCACCACAGGCTTTCAAGTGTCCAACTCCCTGTGACTTCTCCAGTCTGTCTTTAACCTTTTCTGCCTCTGTGCTTTGGTGCCCCATTGTTTCTATTTATTGAAAAAGTTAATTCCTTCAGCTTTATCACAGGGTATCACTTTTACTTGAAATGTGCCTCCCTTTCCCCCAAACATACACATACCTACTCCACACTTCTTCAAGCTCATATCAGTTTAAACTATCATGGAATATTTTCCTATTGTCATTTAGATATTCCTGATGTTCTCTGTTACTAGAACTCATACTCTGACATTTCTCATTCTTGCATAACCTCTTGTGTGTTTGTCTTTTGTCCCTCAATTTTACTAATTGATGTCCCAGGAACATATGAGTGGTGGTCTTGGTGATGAGTGGGTGTCAGTTTTTCCTTCTTTGGGTTCTAGGGGCATCAGAGTCCTGGTGTTAAACCAAGACACAAAGAAAAGACCACCGACTACAATTTTAAATCAAATTAAAACAAGCTTGTAATTCTGACTAGCTGAGACTGACCCTCTCCCAAAATCCATGGGATAGAAGACAGTCCTCCAGCTCTCTAGGAGCGCAGTTTTATAGCACAGAAAATTGCAAAAGGGGGGAGTCTTGAGAACTTACACATAACAGGATTTTGGCAAGCATAATACAAAGGCAGGTAGTAGGTTAATGGTCTAAATGGTTCAGCACTTAGGGAGTAAATTTAGATCCCAACATCAGAATTTATGAGGCACCATTAGGGTTTCAGAGAGGGTTGTTATCTGGCCAGGGAAAGCCAGGCATGGGTGAGTTCAAGGCATGGGCAGGCATTCCAAGCAATTTTAAAACATCAAAATATAGCCAGGCCAAACAGAGATCCTAATATTTTACAGAAAACAGAAATGGATCTTTTATGACTTTTAAAAAGATGGCTCCTGATCTTAAGAGGAAATTAGGCTGGGTTTATCACCTGGCATAGCGTTAGCACTAAGGAAGAATTTACAGAATATTCTAGATGGGTCTTATTTAAGGAAAGGGTGAGAGTTGTGGGCATGAGAAGTGGGAGCAGAGAGTGTCTTTGGGTGGAAATTTCCACCAGGAGCTGGTGCTGGTTACCATGAGGGGCAATTCCTGCCTGTTTTTTGTTCCCCAACCCTGTACCTGAGGGGGACCAGGTCCTTAATAGAGTGGGTCAGAGGAATTTCTCTGCCCTTGGCCCACCTCCCTATGGTCCCTCTGTCTCAGGCAGATGGAAGTAGAAGGCCCAGTGTCTGGGGTGGGGAAATCAGGGGTGTCCTGATGTTTTTGTCACAGTGTCCAGTTGGGTTCCAGGTCCATGGTGTCCTAAACAAAGAATTGAGCTACACACACAAGTAACAGGTAAAGTACAGATTTATTAAGGGTGGAAGTGGAAGTAGACTCCATAAGCTAGAGCTGAGTGGGCCAAGAAAGGGGGGGGGGGGCTCAAGGCCCTGATGTCTGGAAACCAGTGTCTTGTATACTGAGCTGTGATGCGTTATGGCCCTCATGAGACCTGATTGAAGACCTAACCCAACTTACTAACATGGGTCACCTCATGACACCTGATTAAATAGTGTCCAATTCCCGCGTTGGTCATTGTAGAAAACCTAATTAGAATACTGCCCACTCTGCCCTCAGTGGTCATTTTAAAATATCGAGAATGTGGTGAAGTTGTCATGGTGTCATGGTGATAAGTCCTCAGGGGCGGAGTTGTCGTGGTAATGAGGGACACAAACAAGGACATGACTTGTGTCCCTGTCTTGTCCTCTATGGGCATCCTTCTTTATGTCCTACCGCCTCCATCTTGGTGTCCCATCATCCCCGCCCCCGCCCAGGTCTCCCTGTGTGTCAGTCTCCTCCCAGAGGCCGCCTGGTGAGAGGGTTGTTCCTGTCCCCACAGCACGTTTCCTGGAGCAAGTTTCACATGAGTGTCATTTCTCCAACGGGACGGAGCGGGTGCGGTTCCTGGACAGATACTTCCACAACCGGGAGGAGTTCGCGCGCTTCGACAGCGACGTGGGGGAGTTCCGCGCGGTGAGCGAGCTGGGGCGGCCGGATGCCGAGTACTGGAACAGACAGAAGGACGTCCTGGAGGATGAGCGGGCTGCGGTGGACAACTACTGCCGACACAACTACGGGGTTGGTGAGAGCTTCACTGTGGAGCGGAGAGGTGAGTGCTGGGCCAGGAGAGAGAAAGGGTGTGTGTGTGTGTGTGTGTGTGTGTGTGTGTGTGTGAGAGAGAGAGAGAGAGAGAGAGAGAGAGAGAGAGAGAAGGAGGAGGAGGAGTAATAGAATGTGTGTGTGTGTGAGAGAGAATGTGTGTGTGAAAATGTGTGTGTGTGAAAGAGTGTGTGTGAAAAAGAGAGAATGTGAGAGTGTGTGCAAGAGAGAATGTGTGTGAAAGAGTGTGTGTTACAGAGAGTGTGTGTGTGAGAGTGTGTGTGCATGAGAGAATTTGTGTGTGTGACAGTGTGTTTGTGTGTGTGTGTGAAAGCATATGTGTGTAAGACAGAGTATGTGTGTCTGTATGTGAGAGAGTTTGTGTGTGTGTATGAGAGAAAGAGTGAGAGAATGTGTTTGTGTGAGAGAATGTGTGTGTGTGTGCGTGTGTGCGGCACGCCCGCTATGAGAAGTTAAGGGTGCCTGTGAGGTCCCTGTGTTATTGTCAGTGTCCCTGCAGGGACCTGGGGAGCCAATGCTGCGCATGGGGCAGGAGAGCTGAGGAAATCCTGACCCCAGAGTGAGGGCAGGACTGGAGAAGAGCTTGAGGTTTCTGTGAATTTGGTGTCACTTAGCCCTGGTGGCCCCAGAGGAGAGGAGAGGTGGGAGAAGGCAGTTGCTGGAAATGGAGGGGACTTGCCTTGGGGTGAATGGGAGGCAGGTGAGGAGGGGGCATGCAGGAGTCCGTGGTTGGGTGAAGGTTTACATTTACTTGCCAAATGCTGTTACCATGTGAAGAATTCTCTTTTATCTCTGGGGTTCTCACTGTTTTTGAAGTGATTTTATGGATTCTCTGGATAGTGAGATTCCGAAAACATTGTTGATTTATTTTGTTTATACTTTGCTTCCTTCATGGCTTTCCATGTTAAGAATTTTAGCATTATATTTAATGAAATATGCTCTAATATTGTTAGTAACAATTTAGCATCAATATTAAATCAATCCTTTAGCAGTTTTGTGACAATGTTTTCCCTCAAGCATTCCTTGAGGGGAGAGGGAAATGGTTGTGGATGATGTGAGGAGGCTGGTCACAAACTTCCTTGACATACACCGTTTTTAATCCAGTAGGCCCTGATATCAAAGAGTGCTAGGTTTGTTTCCATAGCATTTTACTGAAAATCAAATATCAGACTTTTTGTGTGAATGGGCTGTGGGATTACCTCTGATCTTTTTGAGGCTTACTTTACTTCTAAATTTCCTAATGTTTCCTGCCTTGTTCCTTTGCTTTCCTAGGACATGGATTTTTACATATTTGAAATGGTGGTGAAACTGGATTTTGAGTTACAATTTTGTTACTTAAATAACAATGTTGCTATTTTTATATTTTAAGTGGTTGAACATTAACTCTATGTGGTTATTACACAATTTACCTCACATTCCTCTTGGTTACATCTTTTTTTAAAACTGTCAAATACAGTCCTCCCTGGGTGTGTTAGCTTTCTGTCATGGTGACAAAACACCTGCCAACAACAAAAAAGTTTTTTGTGAAAAGTATTGTGTCATGCATGAAGTTCACATGTTATGAAACTCAGACTCTGTCATGACCACAGATACCAGATGAAAGTTATTTTGTCTCATAGTCTCAGAGGTTTCAGTCCTTGTTCCCTTGACTACCTTGCTTTGGGCCTGTGGCTATGGCTACACAGTGGAGTCAGAAGGACATGGCGGGGGGTAGGCTACTTACTTCATGAGGACTACAAACCAAAGGGGGAGGAGTGGCCAGAGTCCCAATATCCCCTTAAAGGACATGGCCCCAATGATGGAACTTCCTTTCAATAGGCCCTACCTCCTAAAAATTCTACTGACTCCCAGTAGTGCCCCAGACTAGTGACAAGGCCTTAGCACATGGCCTTTTAGGAGCATTTAATACAAATCATGATATTAGGTATGGAGGAGAGGGTAATTTAGTTCTAGGAACCCAGTGGATACGGAAATATGTGAATGTCAAAGTCCTTTATACCAAATGATCTAGTAACTGCTTATAATTTATGCATATCTTCCTGTGTACTTGACAGAACCTAGATTACTTGTAATACCAAATGTAAATGCTTGGTAAATAGTTGTAACACTGAATTGTTTATGGAATAGTGAGGAGGAAAAAAAGTACCTACAAATATAGAGCAAATACAGTTTTTTCCAGCTGTATTTAGTTATCTGCAGTTAGTTGAATCCTTAGATGCAGAAGTGCTGATACAAAGGGCCTACTGTACTCCAAAAGTTTTATATTTTAAAACTTAATTTTCTCTTTCTTTGATTTCAAAGGTTCTCAAACATTTTCCCACGTTTATTTGCCAAATGTTGGTAATACTCTGAGAATTCTCTTTTATCTCTGGGGTTCTCAGAGTTTTTGAAGTGATTTTATGTGTTCTCTGGATACTGAGATTCTGAACACATTGTCAATACATTTTTTAATATTTTGCTTCCATTTATTACTTTCTATGTTAAGAAGTTTTGCATTTTATTTAATGAAATATGTTCCATTATCCATTCATCTATTGAAGGGCATCTGGGTTGGTTCCACAGTCTAGCAATTGTGAATTGTGCTGCTATGAACATCGATGTAGCAGTATCCCTGTAGTACGCTCTTTTAAGGTCTTCAGGGAAAAGTCCAAGAAGGGCAATAGCTGGGTCAAATGGTGGTTCCATTCCCAGCTTTCCCAGGAGTCTCCATACTGTTTTCCAGATTGGCCGCACCAGTTTGCAGTCCCACCAGCAATGTACAAGAGTACCCTTTTCCCCACATCCTCTCCAGCACTTGTTGTTGTTTGAATTTGCAGGGAAATGGATGGCACTAGAGCATATTATGCTTAGTGAAGCTAGCCAATCCCTAAAAAACAAATACCAAATGTCTTCTTTGATATAATGAGAGCAACTAAGAACAGTGCAGGGAGGAAGAGCAGGAAGAAAAGATTAACATTAAACAGATACATGAGGTGGGATGGAAAGGGAGAGAAAAGGGAAATTGCATGGTAATGGAGGGAGACCCTCATTGTTATACAAAATTACATATAAGAGGTTGTGAGGGGAATGGGAAAATAAACAAGGAGAGATATGAATTACAGTGGATGGGGTAGAGAGAGAAGATGGGAGGGGAGGGAGGGGGGATGGTAGAGGATAGGAAAGGTAGCAGAATACAACAGTTACTAATAGGGCATTATGTAAAAATGTGGATGTGTAACCGATGTGATTCTGCAATCTGTATTTGGGGTAAAATTGGGAGTTCATAACCAACTTGAATCTAATGTATGAAATATGATATGTCAAGAGCTTTATAATGTTTTGAACAACCAATAAAAAAAATTAAAAAAAAAAAAGAAAGAAATATGTTCCATTAGTGTTAGTAATGATTTAGCATCAGTATGAAGTCAATCCTTTAGTGCTATTATGAAAAGGTTTTCCCTCCAGCATCCCCTGTCTCTTTTACTTAAAAGCATTTTTTGATGTCGGTGGTGAGAAGTATTGTGTCATGCATGAAGTTCACATGTTATGAAACCCACACTGTCATGACCACAGATACCAGTTTACAAGGAGAGACAGTTACAATATGATAATAATCCTAAAAATAGATATGCATGTTATATAAAGGAAGAGGGATTCCTCAGTGGAGTGTAAATATGAAGACAGGACTTTCCTTGCTGCCTTCCCTCTCCTCAGGCCTCCCGCATTTCCTGCATTTCAGCCTTAGAGAATCACCTCTGTCTGTCCCTGCTTCCCAGAGTGGAGTTCTTTCAAACACTGGAAGATAAGGGCTTGCATAGGGAGCATTCCCAAGATCCCATCTTCCTTGTGGCTCTTCTGTTGTCCTCCCATTTATCCATTCAGCTTTGACTCATATTCTCTTAGAGAAATCAACAAGAATAAATTGGTGAAATACGTTGAAGGCTGCAGGTATTGCAGGTATTGCTTTATATATTATAGATGCATTAATCCTTCTCTGACAGTGAGAGATAAGTCGGTATTATCCCCATTACAGTGAGAGGCAGAGGCACAAAGAGAAGTAAGAAACTTTCCCAGGATCAACAACTAAGAGGTGGAGCCTGGATTTGAACCTAGTTGATCTGGATTTAAAAAAAAAAAATCACACTTTTCACTAAGGTCCTGTACGCTTTGCAAAACATTGTAAATACTTTACCTCAGTAATGAATAATTGTTTCAAGCTTTGAAACAAACGAACCAATAAACAAAAAAAGCAAAAAACTGTCTCTCAGCTCTAATGGGTCCTGGCTGAAGGCCTGACACTCTCAGGCCTATGGCCAGCTGAGGAGGACTGCCAAACTTGAGGCTGAGTATGGAGAGAGGAAAAAAGGGATGCAACCAGGAAGATACCTCTGCCTTCCTGATTTATTCTTTCTAAATTTTCTCTCCTAGTTAAGCCGAAGGTGACTGTGTATCCCACAAAGACACAGCCCCTACAGCACCACAATCTCCTGGTCTGTGCAGTGAGTGGCTTCTACCCAGGCCACATTGAAGTCAGGTAGTCCCGGAATGGCCAGGAGGAGCAGGCTGGGGTCGTGTCCACAGGCCTGATCCAGAATGGAGACTGGACCTTCCAGATCCTGGTGATGCTGGAAACAGTTCCTCAGAGTGGAGAGGTCTACACCTGCCAGGTGGAGCACTCAAGCCTGACGAGCCCTGTCACAGTGGAATGGAGTGAGTGAGAAGCTTCCTGAACTTATAAA